ACATCCAGAGAAACGACTGGTTTAGTTCCATCGATCTGAAAGACGCAGAGCAGGGATGAGAGTTTTGTTTTACCTAGATGACCTGTTGCTGCTGTCACGCTCCAGACGGGAAGCAGTGGCGCAGACTCAGGTGTTGACGTCAACACCTGCTAAATCTGGGCTTCGCCATAAATGGGGAAAAAAGCTAGATTCTCCCGGCCCAGACGATTATTTATCTTGGAGTGGAGCTAAACTCGACCACCATGAGGGCTCGTTTATCACAGACGAGAATCGACACTCTAAGAGTCCAGCTCCGCCACGTAAGACCTGGCAGAGTGGTAACAGCCATTTCCATCATGAAGCTGTTAGGAACGATGTCGTCTGCTCACACAGTTGTCCCGCTGGGCTTACTCCACATGCGACGCCTCCAGAGATGGTTTGCTCGTCTGCGCGTGGATCCGGTAAAGCAAAAGAGACGGATGATCACTGTTCCTCCCTCCGTGAGAACAGACCTCTGACACTGGGAAAAAACCCTGGTTCTGTCGGAGGGAGTCCCCATCAGCAGACCTACGTCACACGTGTCAGTCTTCACAGATGCGTCGCTGTCAGGCTTGGGGGGGGACATGCCTATCTCGAGCTGTAGGGGCGCTGTGGCCTCCTCACACAACAGCTCATATAAACGTTCTGGAATGTCGCACGGTTCTGAATGTGATTCAACACGTTGCTCCTGTGCTGCAGAATCAACACACTTTGATTCACACAGAAAACAAGGTTACTGCTGCTTACATAAACCGGCAGGGGGGTATGCACTCAGCTCAAATGTTACACATTGCGATAAAACTACTTTGCTGGGCACACCAAAATCTGCTCTCCATCAGAGCAGTGTACATCCCCGGTGTTCTGAACAAAGGGGCAGATGTGATGTCCAGGGGCGGTCCACGTTACGGGGACTGGACCCTCCACCCTGATCTGATGGCTCAGATGTGGCAGAAATTTGGCAAAGTGGCTGTGGACCTGTTTGCGACACGAGAAAACGCTCAGTGTCGACTATGGTTTTCACTGAGCCTGCGAGACGAACCACCGCTGGGGTTGGACGCGTTTGCTCACAGCCCATGGCCCAAAACGCTTCTTTGCGCGTTCCCCCCACCTCCTCTGATATTACGGTTTCTGAACCGAGTTCAGGAGGAGGGATTGAAAGCTCTCCTGGTGGCTCCCGAGAGCGTGAACGCGCCATGGTTCCTGGTTCTACGCTGCCTGTTATCGGGGCGCCCGTGGAAACTGCTGTGGGGGGAGGACACTTTCCACCAGGCAGGAGGAGCGATCAGGAGTTACCCAGAAATAGGCCAGCACCTGTGGGTCTGGCCGCTGAGCGGATCCGCTTAGAGAGGATGGGTCTCCCGCAAGATGTAGTGCGCTCAATCCAGGATTCACGTGCTGCATCTACCACAGCACTGTACACATCAAAGTGGACAGCTTTTCAGCGCTAGTGTACAGAGAAAGGTGTAGAGGCCACCTCATGTCCACTATGTGGCGTCCTGTCCTTTCTGCAGCAGCTGATGGACAGAAATCTGGCGTTCAGCACGATTAAAACATACGCTGCAGCCATCTCTGCCTGTCACGAAGGTTTCGGAGACAGAACAGCTTTTAATCATCCGCTGATGGTGTTTTTTAAAAGGTGTACAGAGACGCAGGCCTGTTTCACGCCCACTTGCTCCACAGTGGGATTTAATGCTGGTTCTGCAAGCCCTGATCAAAGCTCCATTTAAGTCACTGAATCAGGTTCCAATTAAATTCTTGTCTCTTAAAACAGCCCTGCTGTTGGCTTTAACATCCGCTACGAGGGTGAGTGATTTATCTGCCCTCTCTGTCGCTCCGTCATGTCTTAGAATTCAGGCTGACGGCAGCTCAGCTGATCTAAGACCGAATCCAGCCTTTATGCCTAAAAACATCACAAGCTCTTTTAAATCAAGAGTGATATCGTTGGATGGGGTTTTTCCCTTCCCCCCACAAATCAGAAGAAGAAGCATCTTTCCATCTTCTCTGTCCTGTGCCGGCGTTGAAGTGTTACATAGCGCACACAGCTGCAATGCGTCAAACTCAACATTTGTTTGTGCATTATAGAGATGCACCTGCAGGTTGCCCGTTATCCACCCAGTGCTTGTCACACTGGCTGTGTGAGGCCATTTCTGAAGCCTACAGAGCATCAGATTTAGAGCCTCCTGTCAACCTCAGTGCGCACTCGACCAGAGGTATCGCATCTTCGACTGCTTTGCATAATGGTATGACAATGCAGGATATTTGCACTGCGGCCACGTGGTCAACACCCTGCTCATTTATTCGCTTTTATCTACGTGATGTGACGGCTCGTTCCATGACACATTCTGTCCTTAGTGTTTTAACAGAATGAATATTGTTGTTTCATGGAACCCCGTTTAAACTCACATCTGACTGCATGCATTTACAGTGTGAGATGTTGTTATCAGTCACAAGTTGTGACTGTTATTTTGGTTCTATTGTCACTAATCAGTGCATGACTAGTGTTATTAATCAGTTCATTTGATTAATAATCAGTTCACTTGTTATTATTCAGCTGTTCATATTGATCAGTCGTGAATCTGTTGGTTCATGGCCCTTTTTTCAGCCTCCTTTCCCCGTTGAAAGTTTTCTGGGGCGTTCATGCACTCAGAACGCATAACTACACAGCATACGTCTGTGCATGGTACGCATAATTACACAACGCGTAATTACGCACATGGAGAGCTGAGTGACAAGACGTTTTTTGGGCAAGCTGCTGCTTCGTACGGTGTTCGAATGGACTCAGTGAGGCGAGGACTACATCTGCTTCGCCCTTAATTCACTAAGTGACAGCTCTTAAAAGGCGAAGCCTATACGAAATAGAATGTTGGTTACGTACTGTAACCCCAGATTCTATGAGTATAAGCGTAGCCCTTTAAGCGTCGGGCCTCACTGGCTCCTAAATGGCTGAAGAAAAAGTTATTTGGGAGCCGATTACCCGCTCTTAACGTAATTTATACGGACCGGGTGGGGCCCACACAACAGGTGGGCATGGACTAAATTTTTCAGTGTGATGCTTTGCATGACGGGATAAACCCACTAAGTGACAGCTCTTAAAGGGCTACGCCTTTACTCATAGAATCTGGGTGTTACAGTACATAACCAACATTTCTGTTCAGTGCCCTGAGATGACTTCTGTTGCAACTTAGCTCTACATGAATAAACTGAATTGAATTGAATTAATGACAGCAACTGAACTTCTTTTTTGGTTTCAAAGCTTTTTGTAAATTCATCCTGACAAGAGCCAACATCCAAACTTATTTTAGACTCATGCAAATAATAAGCCTCATTGATTAACATGTATTTTTGGACAATAAAATGAACAGCTCAGTGCAGTTTATGAGCTTCAGCTTTGCACCTTTCAGCCTAAATTAAGATAGTGTCTTGAATGAGATGAGAATATACAAAAATACATCTTGTCAGGAAATTGGTGCTAAAAAGCATCTGCATTGCCAGTTTCTGTAATAAGTATGTATACAAATTTTTGCAGTTTATCAAAATTATAATAAAACACTTTTTGATGATGCTAACTGAAAGTAGCTCTATTGTATTTTTAAAGCATCTTACCATTTTCCATACTGATTGTTGCTGGAAGTGTCTGTCTTCGTTCAGTGTTTATCTCTGTCTGGACTTATCTATGTTTGTTCTTCTCTCTCTCTTTCATTACTCCTCCCTCTCAGCTAAATGTCAATGAGACATGCATCCATGCAAAAGATGTGAACAAAGTGCAAAGCAATGCCTCATAGTATAAAGCATGTGGTGGCTTGGTGATCAGTGCTACAGTCTTGCAATCCCAAAGTTGTGGGTTCGAGCCCAGGTTATGTCAGGAAGGGCATCTGGCATCAAACAAATTGCAACATTTTTCATGCGAGTTCATTTGCTGTGGCAACCCTTGAGGAAGGGAGCAGCCGAAAGAAACTTACTTTTATGTAAAATAAAATGAAATGAAAGTCTATGAGCAGCCTTAGTGATGTATTTTAAGTATTTACTGTACAATACCTGACACTTTGCATGAAACCCCACAAATCTAGCAACACATGCACATCCTTATGTGGAATATAAAAGCAGGTGGGTACGGATACTTGGAGACATGTCCTTTTAACTGTTACTACTTCATCCATCCATTATCTTTTACCCGCTTCTTCCTTTTTGGGTCACTGGTGCCCATGTCCAGCAATCACTGTGCGAGAGGCGGGGTACACCCTGGACGGGTCTCAAGTCCATCACAGGAACACATAGAGACAAACGAGACAAACAACCATTCACTCTCTCACTCACACCTAGGGACAATTTAGAGTTACCAATCAGCCTAATATGCATGTTTTTGGTCTGTGGGAGGAAACTGGAGTACCCGGTGGAAACCCACGCATGCACAGAGAGAACATGCAAACTCCACCCAGAAAGGCACCCGGATCGGGATTTGAACCAGGGACCTGCTTGCTGAGAGGCAGCAGCTCTACCAGTTGCACCACTGTGCTGCCTGTTATTATTTCATGTCTATCCTAAATTTAAACTCACTGCATGAGTAAATTGTGTCTTCAAATGAAATTTATTGAGTCACATGACAAGGACTTTTGTTCTAACAGGTAAAAATAGTCAAAACAAATATAACAAGGCTACATTAGGTCCTCTGGATGGATTCTTCTTGTTGAAATGTTTCGTCTTTTATCAGAAAGACTTCTTCAACAAATTTCAAACCTTTCTGCAACAAACTCAGTCTTATAAACAGCACCTTCTCACAGTGGATCATCCATTTTTGGTGACATCCAGAACTAGCTGTTTACATGCAAAAGGAGGACCACTAGCCTAACAATTAATCATTAGTGCCCTAATGGCCGCTTGCTATTCACAGAGGGCTGAGTGATACTAGCAATAACAGCATCGCAAGAGGGTGACAGTAGAACATTAAAGACTGGGTATGCTTAAAGAAGAAAATTGCACCATCATCAGTGTTCTTAAAGAGTTTATTGTTTGATTTCTAAGGAATGTGTCAAAATGCAAAACATTGTGACGTGGGAGCCATGATTTTAGGCAGTAATAGTTCTAGCTGGTTTATCTTGCAAGGACATTTGAAGAAATACTGGGAAACAGAAATGCATCACTGCGTTGCACATTAGTTGTAAGCAATGGTCTGGTCAATCCAGGCGCGCAGGTAGGACACACGGGAGTACACTGCTGGAGTGTTCACATTGCAGTTGGTGGTACCCCAAGACACAATACCCACAAGGTACCACACACTACTGCTTTCACAGACCAGAGGGCCACCAGAGTCACCCTAGAATGAAACAATTTTGAAAATATATTTTGTTATTACAGCTCAACTTGCAGTTACCTCTTGATTTTGTTTATCAGTTCATTTTTCAGTAAATCTTATATTTTGTGCAGATTTTGTGCAGAATGCTGGTTGGGTGATTTCAAAAGCAGGGAAACATGTAGCAAGAGCATGGCTGTTGAGTCAGCGATAAATATATGCAAAACTTTTACAAGCAGCTTGTAGACTATTGCTTTATTATTCTAAAATCAAATATGAATATTTTTTTCATATCTTTAGTGATTAAATCTTAAAACGAGTGATTAAATCCTTTCAGTTTCTCCACAAACTTGTACAGACAGTTTGAAACACTGGCAGCATGTCACTTATTGCCACAGGAACTTTAAGCATGGAGGCACTTAAATGCTAATGTGACATTTTCAGCAATATCAATATTAACACTACATAACACATTCTATAAGAATAGAAACATATTGATATAAAAATGAAAAAAGGGTCTACTCTACACCTCCTCCAGTTGAAAACTGAAGCCAGAAGGATTTAAAAATACAGCAGCAATGTAAGAAGTCCTGATGCTCAGTAATCCAGATAGATACATCTAACAAGGTTAAGTCAAGTCCTCTGGACAGATTCTTCTTTGTTGAAACGTTTTGTCTTCTTTATCGACTCAGACTGAAGAGGTGTTTTGGATAAAAGACAAAATGTTTCAACAAAGAAGAATCAATCCAGAGTACCTGACTTAACTTTGTTAGAGCAATGTCAATTAGTACATAAATCAAAAGAAGTCAACACTGAAGTATGTAGGACTTCAAGCCCCATATTGGATGTGTACAGACTCTGGTTCCAAAATTACAACATGACAGTGTCTGTATAAGGTTCCTGTCTGCTTCAATTACCAACATGAAAAGAAGACAGGGACACTTGGCCTATCAGTATATAAGAGAAGCAATGGCTCAAAGGAGTTTTAAACTGCTACTTATGTATCGTACTTTTCGCTGTATAAGTCGCACCTTTTTGCATAAATTACCATGCCCTGCGATGTATACGGCAAAGCAAATTATTTACATTTTCCCCCCATATTTATAACCCATTTTTTAGCTGAGACCTGATGCATTCATTCATTTTGACATGGAAAATATTGAACACTACCATTTTCAGCCACTAGAGGACCTTTGACTATTATGGCAAGCCAAATGTCTCATTAGTAGGTAAAAGTGGTTATTAATGAGACATTTGGCTTGCCATACTAAGCCACCTTAGTCTTGCTCTGGAACTCCTGGTGCAAACGTCATATCAGCTGCATTTCGCTGCACCACCCAGGCGAAATGCAGCTGATTTGACCATTAAAGTGCATTTATTAAGGAAAAGTTCAACTGAGACACACATTTGCTATAATTTCAAGCTAACAAATAATTGTATTTAAGTGTTAATCTCATTAAATTCTTGTTATGTCCTCCCGTGCACGCTCCTGCAGTTGCCATTTGGTAACCAATCGATTTTTGGCACAACAACGACCCACGTTTCCGGGTGGTCTGCACTGACACATAACAAATGCGACACATCAGCGGTAATGCATAATAGATGCAACATATACGGTGAAGTGACATATTTATGGTTTTTTGTTTTCCACTTTATTAGACATATTTGGACTGATGCGACTTATACAGCGATGCGATGTGTACGGCGGCACGTACGGTATCTTTATATTTACAGTGCAATATTCTTAAGCTATGCATTTTTCTAAACAAATCATTTTTAAGTTTTGAAGTACAGGTTACCTGGCAGGAGGACACTCCAGAAGCACCAGCACAGATCATAGCATCAGTTATTCTGTTGCTCCCCCAGTAATTCTTGCACTGAGCAGGGGTGAGGAGAGGCAGGGCAGTCTGCTGCAGGTAACGTGGGCTTGCTGAAAACAGAGATGTAGATAAGACAACCCCAGATGTGTATGGCAGTGCTTTTCGTAGATAAAGTTTTCCTTTAGAGGGCAGCTCATATCTGTCTACGTTATGTCAGTAGAAATGGAAAGTCGCAAACTTACAGGTTTGCCCCGTTCTGCCCCATCCAGTGGTGACACATTTGGTTCCAGAGGGGATGCTAGTGCTGGATGAGACCAAGCACACTGGAGAGATGCGGGTTGTCATCTGCACTGGGGAGGACAGCCTCAGAAGGGTGATATCATTGTCAAAGTTGTTGGTGTTGTAGTAGGGATGAGTGATGGCCTGGATGAAGAGGTGAGATTGAAAGATAAACAAAATGCAGTACAATGCCATTTTGAGACAGACAATAGCTCACACTTTCAACGGGAAATCTTATGTCTTTCCTTACCCTGGCAATGGTCTTGACCTGAAGTGGCTCACTGTTGGTTTGACGATCGTGCTCACCCAGGATAACACGGTGGCTCATCGGACTGGAAGAAATAACAATACCAGTAGTTTGGGTTATTATGATATCTAAAGTTGTTTTATCGTTCAGACACAGAGACACAGAGAGTTAACTTACGACACACGGCAGTGAGCAGCAGTGACCACCCAGTTCTGGTTGATCAGTGATCCTCCGCAAAAGTGGAATCCTGTGTTGTCCTAAGATTGAAGGAGATGCCTATTTAAACATGTGTTTATATATTTTATGTGCAAATTATTTAGGTATTGTGCCACTGCTGTATTTCTGAGGAGTAAATCACATACTTGAAGAGAAACTTGCCAGGGCCAGGATCCAGACACAGCATTCTCACCATTCACGATCTTGTTGTATCCACTAACCTGGGGCTTGATGGCTGGCACGCCACACCCTGAAGCCCAATAGTACAAAAATGCTTTTGTGTCAAAATACTACACATATTACAACATATTAAAATGTGTTTTTTACATTTTTTTGGTGCTTAAAATGCTTTTGAAGTACAGACTTTTAAATAACAGTATCAAAACATTTTTTTAACCACTATTCTCAAGCTATTGGACTGAACAAAAATGCATTGTATGATGGTGTAGTGCCACTTACCCAGTGCAGAGGCCACAAGGGCAAAACAGCTAATGAGCAAGAACATTACTGTGACCTGATCAACATTCAACTCAGTGTATTTTCTATGTGGCACACCATCTTTTATAGTTTTATCTCACACGTTTGACCCTGAATTCTGCATATGTGCAATATTACTAGTCCCACCCCATGTTCTACCTGACCCAGCTTGAGAAGTGACCATCTGGTGATAAGTAACTTTTGAGAGTTTAAAAACACACTTGAATGGGAACATTGTTCATTTACAAGAAAAACATTGCCTTAACTTGACTTTGCATCACAATCATTAATAGTGATACCGATATTAATATTGAGATCTGTTTTTCTTCTGCACGTTTTTAAGAGAAAATTTTAGCTTTTCGGCCATGTTTTTCTCATTAAAAAATAATTGGGATCTCTTCACATCCTTGAAAACCCTTTATGCTGTTTAAAACCGTTTGCTGCTCATTTCAGCTTTTGTCCTGTTCTGCTTTTTATTGGCTTTTTGTGCTCATTTCAGCTTCCTTCAGTTTCTTTCAGCTTAATTTAGCTCCTTTCAGCTTTTTCAAGCAAATTTTCTGCTCCTTTCAACCTCTTTCTGTTAAATTCAGCATTTTCTGCATTTTTAGCTTCTTTTCTGGTATTTTCAGCTAATTTTTGCCTTTTTCTGCAACTGCTTTTTGCTAATTTTGGTCTTTGGTTTTTACAGCATATTGTTCATATTTTCCTGTTTTCAGCAGATTTCAGCTGTTCAAATTCAACTTGCGTTAACAGTTAAGCGATGAAACCTTTTCAGCTTGGTTTAACTTCTTCAGCGGCTTTTAGCAAAAATCATTCATCAATAAGCATTCACACTGCATTGCAGGAAATGCCATTTCTATAGTTTAAATTAGCATTTTAGATTCAGCCCTCAGCAAAAGTAAGGTATAACAAACCTGTGTTGAAACATCTTTCACTTGACTTATTTATGGAAGCTCTATTTTGTCAAATCTTTTAAAATGTCTTGTGAGATAGTGTAGTTATCAAAGAGGGAAAATGATAGTGATCAAAACTTTTGTGGTGCATTTACAAAAACATAGTCTGTCTGCAAGACAAAGACATGTGCCATTATGACAATCACTTTCCATACAAATTTGTGGTTGATGCTCTGAGACACTCAACAAAAAAATATGTTAAGCAACAATCCAGGCCGGCCCAAGCATCCATGTGGCCCCAAGCAAAATTAGGTTTGGGGCCCTCTATTTCTGCTAATAATATGGATTACTGCAATCAACAGTCAGATAAACTCATTGCAACTCTGACAGCCCTGTTTACATTATCACACACACACACACACACACACACACACACACACACACACACACACACACACACACAC